GGGTCAATAGCCCTTGCAGACTACGGGTTTCGGTTTTACTACGGTTTGATATTTGCTGAGTAGTCTACCTGGTTCGTCATTGGTTTGGTTTTGGTTTTACAACTCTCAGCTGAAAACCACTCCATCCCTGTCATTCATCTCTTGATCGAGAAGTGAGGTATAATTATAAGCATGAGGTATTTAAAGCCCTTTTCAAATGTTAACCGAAAGAGATGCAGTTCAGTCTAGGTCTGAGATAAGGTATCAATTTTTTGGTCAGGTCTGAAAAAGGGAAGGAAATAATCATTTATTTTGAGCTTTTGATATTCAATACAATCACAGCATTATCTAAAGCACTGATAAAATGCACACCACTGAGTGGAGACCTTTTCTACGATGTCATGCTTTTTTGATTTTTATAAATTCAAACAAAAAAAATTAGGCTTACCTCTTGATTTATAATGCTGAACTGAGTAAGTATGCAAAGTTTCACAAAACCTGTTGCAAACACATGAAAATATGGGAGCCCAAACTTTATGATGAAACGTATGACAGGGGGCAACGATTACCCCCTAGTATTCATTCATTTTGCAAAAACTTGGCAGGTCTGCAAGTGCACATTTTCATGAGTTTATAACAGATTCTCAAATTGATTTATGGTGGTGAATTTTTGTTGATATGAAAAATATGAAAGGTTGTTGTATTATATGGAAAGAGTGAATGTAGACACAAGTTTCTCTTCCATAAAAACTGCTTCAGGATTTTTTCAGGAGTTAATTTGAGACACCCGTGGACAATCCAGGATAGTCTTGGACAGGTTCAGAGGTCTTCTGCATATTTTGAAAATCATCAGACATTAACTCGATTCCTCATCTTAACAGATTTGCCATTTAGTTTTGTATGAAAGTTCATTGGTAAACTGGTAGATGTGGATAACATTGTCAAGGTCGCAAAAACTGGCTGTAAGATAAGGATCACACAATTCCAATAACAATGCTAAACCCAAATCTATATAATCAAGTCTCGTCCGGAAAAAGAAATCAAGTGTTTAAAACACTAACATCATGACCCTAGCTGACCAAAGATCTACGATCCGAACTTCCTATCTGAGGATCCACAATTCGACCTTTAAAACAGGTAGAGTCCAGAGTCCAGGCCAAAATTCACAGTTGATCTGTGACCTGCCCTATTTTCGAAATCTGCCAATCTGTTCAATTTATCGCAAAAGTCTGTAAACTGTGCGATTTTTTAAGCCATATCTGTTGATCTGCAAACCTATTTACCCCCCTCAGTCATTAAACTGGTACAAGTTTAATGGCTGCCTGCTGCGTCATGCCGGCTGCAATAAGTCAAATTGTGCAATAGCTGTAGCCTGTGTTGAAGACGGAAATCAAAGATGATGGTTTCCCGAGTGTTGTTTCATCTAGGAGGCAGATTGTTTTATATTTATGGGACGTATCATGACTCATACATTGTGACGGAGGATAGAATGTTGTATGGAGGACGTTTTCAGTATCTGACCTTTTTAAATTTGGTAAGAGACATAAAAGCTGACTGTTCGACTAAAATTTCAGTAAAATTGCCGACCTGTTAATTAGTTCAAAGCTATTGACAATTCTTTTGGGATGCATGCTTTGTCGTTTGTTAAAGGAGTTGTAAAGGTGACCTTATCAATACATGTAATTCATTTGATAAATGATCAGTGAAGGCAATCTTCTATCCCCAGATACAGATAATCTCCCCTGGGTTAATAGTCGCTGGAAACATCTGCACATATGAGACATACCAATAATTATGCATCAAATCTTGAGAGAGGGGTCAGCAGGGGTTTCATTAGAAGCCGGCAACCAGCGAAAATTGCTGCCTACTTTGTCAGAATTTTCCTCTTACCACTGCCTACTTTGTCTGTATTTTCACTCAAATTATTAAAAAAATTCATCAGTTTGCCACCTACTTTAGTTAGCTCAGATGGCTATTTTGAAACTTATTGAAAACCCTGGGTCAGGTAAACTACTGAACAGTGTTGTTATGGGGGAGGTTCTGTTTTCCGAGGTCCAAAACCTCACCTATATACTGTTTTTAATAGAAAAGGTAACCCTTTCACGCATGCTCTGGACATAGCAAATGGTATCCATTTCACATATCTACAGCATTCTTGTCCTCAGAGGCTGTGCTCCTTTTGGTCAGCACCAAGAATTGCAACCTCAGGCCGGACCCAATTTTCTGAGTATGCTGTAATTGGCTAAGCTGTAGCGGCTCCCCTGGCCATTTTGTTTTTTGTTTTGCTGTCTGTTTTTTGTTTTTTGTTTTTGTTTTTGTTTTTTTCTTTTGCTTCCTCTTCTTTTTCTTTTTCTTTATGTGTAATAGTAGGCCGAAGCTTAATAAAATAAAATAAATAAATAAACAACACCGGAAGTCTGCAATTCACAGACTTCCCATCAAATCTTACAAATCTGATCAATTGGCTGAGAATACGAAACGAATGCTCTGCACATGGTCGGAAAGTTGGGTTTGGCCAGAGGTTGCGATTCTTGGTGCTGACCAAAAGGAGAGCAGCCTCTAGGTATGAGGATGATATCTACAGAAGATAGATACATTGTAACCCTTAATCAGTAGCCGATTGTGCATAATTGAGATATTTGGAACAGGTTTTCAAATGTTGTTCCTCTTCTGTTCTTCAAAGATGTTGCCACCTTTTTATATAGCTTCAGTCTGGAAGGAGTAAATACCCCTCCTGGGCAAAACCTCTCTATATGTTCCATTTTTGGGAGTACTCCCTCCTGCTATTCATCGCAGGAGACAAAATTATACCTCTGTCTACCTTGACTCGTGGATAATAATACATCTGAAACTTATTTTATATCCTGTAAAATAAATCCTGCCTTAATGGAATGAAAGATTTTTCAATCATACTTGGCTTTTCATCAGTTGAGATTTTACCATTCCTAGCAGTAGAAGTGAAAATAACTTCTTGGCTTTTGTTGTTTTTAAATTTCTATTTAGTCACTATTGGTATTATAATTATTTATAACTGTTTTATATTTCTTTCAGGTTTGCCAGTTGATATACTTTATTATTGCTCCCTGTGCCGATATTCTGACTCTTTTAAAGGGACATGAAGACAACTGGCTTGTCAGACTTCGTGATACAGTGTTTTGTGCACTAGCATTTCCTCTTGGTGTGGTAAGAATTGATCAAATGTAAACAACAGTGGACCATAATAATAGTGAAACCCTGTTAAAATGACCACTGAAGAACAGGCTATAGAAGTTTGTTGATAATAAATTGGTTACTCAGGTGGTGTCCGTAAACACAGTCCACCCTTATTAATGTGATGACCTCTTGTATTAAAGCAATGGCAATTTCAGTATACCAAAATTTTCAGTATAATAGAATCACTCCATTAGAATCTCTCTTTAGTGACAACACTTTTAAGGTCAAATATTTATTAAATGTAAAACATATTGGGCATGTGAACCTCTGCTTAAGGAAATAATTACAACTGCTATTGAGAGCTGATTGTTTAAATATGAAACATTCTAACACTGGCACTTCTTGAGAAGGAATGCAGAGTGGCAGAAATTGAGCCTAATTCTTTTCCTCTGGTGAATTTATTACTTAATTTTCATTGCTTCTTGTGTTATATTGCTTTCTATTTCAGTTTGTAGCTGCCACATTTTGGGGTATCTATATGATTGACAGAAATTTAATTTTTCCTGTTGCAATGGATGCGATAATTCCACCATGGTTGAATCACCTTTTGGTAAGTGAGAAATGCTTTTTTTTAATAGCACAAATATTCACTGGATGTCATTTAAGGTGAAGTCTGCATACAAGCCAGGGGATCCATCAGGCTGGCACTTACAGTATCTCCAGTTCCTGTAGCATGAAGCGACAAGGAGTATTAGCCTGCAGTGCAGGCATTTTATAGCAGTATTAGCTAGTGATCAAGTAGATTTGCGGCCATGTTGGTTTAGAAAAAGTGGACGGGGAGGGGGGTGGGGAAGTAGAGGAAGGAAAAGACGTATTTTTCCTCCCCCTCCCCCGTTACTCCTCTTTCAGCCTAACACCCACTCCCTAGGACACCTTTTCGTCTCTCCCCAAGCCTCTTACGAGTTTGAATCCAAGATGGTGCTCGCTTAGTCAAAATGCGCTCGATTGCTCGCCAAAATACGCCTGCATTACAGGCTAAGGAGTATTTCTATGCCCGACTGGATAGAATGCCAATTAGTCAATTGCACGGCTATCCCCAGTATTAAATTTCCCGTTACCCATTTATACACCTGGGAGGAGAGAGGCATGGTGAGAGTTAAGTGTCTTGACCAAGACCACAACACAATGTCCTTGGCTGGGGGCTTGAACATGGGCTGAACGATCTGGAGTCAAATGCACAAACCATGAGGCCACTGCACCTGCCACCTGGATGTTGTGTACAAGTCAAGACTGTATACATGTACATGTATACTCTCTTTCCTTAGTGTATTGTGAAATTTTCTTGTTCTGTAGGGAGTGGATGGGGATTAAAATCAAGAAACTACTCAGGCACAAATTCCAAAGCCCCCGAACATCTTAAAGTCTGGTTAGGGGTTAGGTGCAAAGGTGGTTTTGTCAAAATGTCACCAAGGTTGTTTTGTAAAATTTAATGTTAATTAATGAAAAAATTGTTGTGGAAATGCTCTAAGTTTTTCTGATTTTTTTTGTTTTTCAGCATACATGGTGTGCTGTCTTTGTGATTATAGAAGGTGCCTTCATTCGGCATAAATATCCCAGGAATTGTGTTGGCTTGTGTCTGCTGGCCACATTTGGTGTGGTGTATCTTATATGGTTGGTCTGCAACTTTTTTGGGCATAAGGTTTATCAATAAATGCCGCTGCAGTAAGCTCGGGGTGCAGGGGGGGGGNGGGTGACTCCCATGGGAAAAGTTAAGGATGTAAGTCAAGGATTTTGTGCTCACTTAGGATGTTCAGTGCACCACAATCCACCATAAGAAAAAAGATGGTGGTTGTACATTTTACCACAATGCCTCGTGAACCTAACACAGCCCAAAAGGCACAAAGAAAGCCTTATAATTACAATATTTGTCCCTGTGCTAAGGATATTTTAAAAGTAGCCTAGGTTTGAATATTTTATAACGTTTCTGTATGTTTTTATGAACTTTGTTTAGGTTTTCATGCGCTAAGAACTACGGGTAAATGTACCAGTCGCCATCTTTTTTCCCACTGAGGATTCTTTTAGCTGTCAAAGTATCTTTTAGAATGCACTTGATGAAATAAAAAAAAATGCTGTCAGTTCCGTTTGAAGTGCTATCTATTAGGGGGCAAATAAAACTTGGGCCACACCTTGATTGGTCTCCTTTTAATTAGGGGTTTAGTTCAAATGTTCTGATGTGCATCCCCAATCATTTCATATGGAGGTCTCTCCAGGGGGGCAGTCAGTCAGTTGGTCTGTCTGTTGGTCCAATGGGTCAGTTGGTTGATTGGCCGGTCAGTCAGTTGGTCAGTTAGTCAGTCAGATGGGTCATTTGTTCGTTTAGTCAGTCGGTTGGTTGGTCAATTTGTTTAATGAAGGGTTAGTGCTTTGTAGTTTTTTTATTGCTGTAATTTAGGTGAGAGCCACAGGTTTCTCAGTCCAGGACTGTTAAGTGTTTCCCTCATTAAATAAAGTTATTATTATTGTTATAATGCTCGAGACATCAGCTTTACAAACTCGCTACAGTAGTTAAATTAATTTATTTACCAGCTTCATGTTGATGCATAGCTAAGTATCTCAATGGTTTGGTACACTGTAGTCAGTTTAGGCAGTCTGAAGTTTGAACTCTGAGGGAACTCGTAGAAATACTCCAAGATTGCAGGTAAAAGGTGAAGTCTGCATACGAGCCAAGTGGCCCACCAGACCGGAGCTTATCCTGGTTTCTTTAGCATGAAGCGACTAGGAGTATTTCTACTGCCCCTTGGGTGGGATGCTACTCCGTCACAGGGTTACCCCCAGCATTAGGTTCGCCAGTACCTATTTATACACCTGTGTAGAGAGAGGCACCGTGAGAGTAAAGTGTCTTGCCCAAGAACACAATGCAATGTCCCTGGCCAGGGCTCGAACCTGGACCGCTTGATCCAGAGACGAGCGCACTAACCGTGAGGCCACCATGCCTCTTGATTGCAGGCTTTACCCAATCACTTTACTAACAGAGGAAAAATTATTCTTTTAGGATCATGTGGATTGCATATGCAGCAGAATTCTGGGTTTACCCATTCCTTCGCATCATGCCCAATTCTTTTAGAGCAGCATTCTTTTCAATGTCTTTCTGCATTCTTGTCTTCTTCTACTTCTTGGGGAAGTGGATGACACTGTTTATATGGGGAGGTAAGAGAGTCTTAGTAGGTGTCACATGCAGCTTTACTGCATCTTTCAATGATACATGAACTCTGCTCAATTAATCACTGTCGTTGCCGTCAATCCTTTTAGTACACCTCTCAGGAAGCAGAAGCTTGCTTTATTTTAATGGGTTCAAAAGGTCAAGTTTGTGAATTGCAATTGGTAATTTTCTATCCTTTTTGTTTGTTTTTTTGTTTGATTGACAGCAGAGAAAAAAAGCAATCGTTAGTTAACTTTTGGACTTCCGAGTTCTTGAGTTATTGAAAGGCGTAGAAATTCGTATAAGGTAATTTTTTTAGTTACTTTAGATGACAAATCAGTTGCCTTTAGTTAACATTTTTTAAAATATTAACCTTTCCCCTCCCCATGCTTCTGGAAAATAACCCCCTTAGCTTAAACATTGCAGAAGACAATTCCAGAATAAATATAACCACTGCAAAGTATAAACCAATGATTTGCTAATATCATATTTTGTTATATAGGCATGAGTGCTTTTCTGGAAAATATACCACTTGTGAGATATCAAGTTGAACACTTGAAGAAAAATTCCATATCTATGCACGCCCATCATGTACTAATCTCGATATATTGTAGACGTATTATATGGCTGTGTCTCACAAAGACTGGGAACTACCGAATTCACGAATTTGACTGGTTGAAATCGATATTGACCGCGGTCTAGATTTTCCCATCTAGACCGGCATCTAGCTAGACCGGTTCCATTTTGCGTTGAAAAAGTAGCAAACTAAAATACAAAAATGTTCACCATTTTCTTTTATTTTCTTCTCAATCATTTATGGAAGTGCCAAAAAGC